TGTGTATGTACTATGTGGTATCAGGGTTGCCAGATAGGTAAGTCAGCGTACCGCCGATAGAGATCGTTAAGGTCGCCCAAAATAGCCAACACTCCCAATCCTTGACATAGCCCAAACTAGCCCATAAAATAATATTATCATAATATAAGAAATTTTCTTATCATTATAATTTTATCAAACACAACAAAAACGTTGAGATAAGTGATAAAAACGTTAAATTTTTTATCATTATAAATGTAATACACATAAATAATGTATACAACATAATATTATATAGGTAGTAGGTACTAATGTACTATAAAAAATAATAATTAATAATATGTAACAGCGCAACACATATTATAACAAAATTAGTTAAAGAAACTTATTTGTACTTAATGTTTTATAATACACTACCTGCTGGTGTAATTCGCTGAAGGTGAGTATCAGTTTTGGAGATACTAGATAGGTATGTCTAGTTTAGTTGTACTTTCTATGATAGTCTAGACAATTTTCCATCATTGTTATAAGGATTTTTATGTTTAGTGTTTGGTAAACTGAATAAAAATTGACAGCTTCATACTTTCAAAATTGCCTTTGCTACTTTTTTAACTTTAATAACAACATTGAACATAACAAAATATAGTGATAATATACATTCAAATAAAATAGGTAATTAATAACTTAAGTCTTTCAAGTTGTAATACATAAAAATAAAATATAAATAATACTTAGTAATGAGTTATAACTATTCACATATGTTCATTTGGTATTGATTATCATTAAATAATTCTAAGTCAAGTATTTCATCTAATACTGAACTTTGATAATTCTCTTCCTCATTATTATCATACATCTGCGAAGTAAATTTTTGAATCATTAAGTCAGTTGCCACAAAGTTTTTACAACATTGTTTGCGAATCTAGAAAAAATATTAGACCATTGGTAAAAATATGTTTTTATCTACTTAAAATATGAGTTTATAATATGACAGTAGTAAGTGGAACCTAATTAGTAATTAGTAATGCTAAATAAATATATAACCTACATTTAGATGAAGTCTAATTCTCAATATGGCTTCTAGTGTCAGCATTGCCATTTGGTTTCTAGATTTTGTTTTAACAGCGTTCATGACACTGAAAACTCTTTCGACAGTAGCATTCGCCAATGGCAACGATAGTACTTGCAGAGTAAAAATTGCCAAATCTGGAAATGCTCTTTTTCCACAGCTATCTTTGATGTTGTATACATCAATCCAAAACCTAGAAGTATCTTTTTCATCAATTGATACTCCATCGCAAATTTCTGAATATTTTAGAGTTAAAAGTTTATTCCATTGCACTTCTATCTCTTCTATATCAGCATCATCTTCTAAAATTAAAGCAAATAAATATAATAACCAATTATGAATAAAAATATGGTTACAAACTACTTAATGCTTTACTATTTTTTTGAAAATGTCACCTTACTTAATAGTTCTAACGGTAGATCCTTAAACTTTGGTGGTATTTGAGACAAAACATATATAGGACTGAAACACCTCAATTTCTGAATGACTTGGGTATTCTGAGGCAAGCGTTTCACTAACTCTTGACAGAGAGTTAACAAAAACTGCCACAACGTTCTTTTACAACTCTAAGTGCACTCAACGTAACTGTCTTCTTTTCAGCCAGTTCCGAGAAGGCAAATCCGAAATCGATAGCATCCAATGGTAGTAATGAAAGTTTATTATTCAATGCATTTGAAACGCGGTCAATATCAAGAAGACTTAAGACATTTGGAAATTCATCGTCTCTCAAGAAATTAGGCTTAATTATCCTTTTAGCTATAGACATCATAAGTTGCTTAAGTTCTCCATAAACTTTTGTAATGTCTGCATTCAAACTTTGAAATTTAAGGTTCATTTGAGTGACTTCTTTTAAAATTGGTTTAAGGAAAGTAAAATAAAGCAGATTAGTATCATCTTTGAACATTTCATTAAGTGTACGTGCACTGTGACACTTTTCATTAACTCCTGCTATCTCAAAACATGTTTTGAGCTCAAGCCATTGATCCATTATTACCTTAATGCAGTTATAAAATGCCAACCATCTTGTTGGATATAATTTTACAAGCTGCTTCAGTTTTTTGCCCTCTCCGTTTATGGTTTCATATAAACGGGCATATTCTAACTTGCGTAATGGACTGTATGAAAACCATGACACAGTTTCCCGAAGCATGAACTCAAGACTGGCAGGTAAAACCTCGGATGCTTTTGACGAACAGGTATTGAGTGAATGGCATATACATTTGATAAGTTGTAGATTGGGTGAAACTTCTTGTAGTAGGGTATAAAGTGAATGATGACGACCACATAAATTACTGGCACCATCTACTCCTAGGCCAATAATATTCTCAGGTTTTAAGTTTAGTTCTTTTAAAAATGTTAATGTTATGTCTCGTAGAGCGCGTTCAACAGTTACTAATCCTAGGAATTCATTAGTAATATTTTGCATTGATTTACTAAAATATCGAATGCAAAATGCCATATATTTCGACACAGAAACGTCAGTTGATTCGTCCACTATTAGTGAATACTTACTATCACCGACATCCATAACTAGCTGCTCAAGTGTAGCAGGTGATATAACATTGACAATAAGCTTAGAACACTTAGTCCGATGCAACCTCAAATTTTCTAAAGAAGAACCTTTTCCAGATACTTTCAATATATCAACAAGATGATCAATACTTCTAATAGCTGAGTGAGTGGCAATATGAACAGCAAGTTGTAATTCAACAGCTTTTCTTTCTCTTGTAACTTTCGACACACCTATTAAATTAATACAAAATTAAAATGAACCTTATATAATATATATATATATAATATAAATGTAAGTATGTGTACCAAAAGATTGCAGTTGCGGTTGTTTTTCGACCATCAAACTTTTCATTTTTCCTACATGTTTTACTGTTTTGGAATGACTAATCAGATCCCCATGATGTGCTCGCAATACAACTTTACACTTAGAACAATATGCTTCCTTAAGATCAAGATCATTGTTATTACTCTGGTTTTCTGTAGCTTTTTGTAACCACCCTATAAAAACAAAAAATATATTTGAGTAATTAAATTATAACAAAATAAATTAAAAGTCTAGATAAGTAATTAATATTTACCTTTAAATTCCGGTTTAACTTCCCAATCCACACAATACTTCCGTTTATATTTACCATACTTACCCATTATTATATTATTTTACAAATGAAAATAGTGGCTAGTGTCTAGTGAGTGGCTTGAGTATATTTTTATTTGGTACACGCATAAAAATCATAAAATTTTCAAGTCTACAAGTTACAACTGCATATTATGTATACATATCACATGATAATGATACATTTATTATTAGTTGTCATTACTAAATATTTAATAATCAGTTATCAGTAGATAAATATCTTAACTTGTACTATTAAGTACTCATTAGTCATTATATTATGTAAGATTACAAATAAACATATACACAAGATACGTCCTACCTACCTAAAAATAGAAAAATACCAAATTCATAAGTAGCAACGAGTACACAAGGGTCTAACATCATGTTCGTGTAAGGCCCAATGGGATCGTTTCCTTAGATTCAGTTCAGACTTCAGCCTGATCGAGTGTCGCTTCTATATTTTACAATGATAATACCACAATAATACTGAGATATCACCACGGACTAAGATATCTCTATAATTCTTATCTGATATAAAAAAAAAATTTTTTTTTTTTAAATTACGTAGGTATTTATGCATAAAAATACTATAATTTCAATATTTTGTTTATAAAATATGTAGCCCACTATAGCCATTAATTTACTGGCGTATAGCCCAATTGGCGGATGGACGCCCAAAAGTATTTTTGGGTGGTTTATTGACTTCTTAAATAGCCCATTTGACGAAAAACCGCCCAATCTGGCAACCCTGCTCGCTACGACTACGTACCAGCGAGTAAAATCGCTCCATCTGACAACGTATTCGCTACGAGTTATTCAAGTCGTAGCTATGAATAGTCGCGGCGAATGGAATAGAGCATGTTCAATTCTACTCGCTAGGAACGCGCGACTATGCTGGTCACGTGACCCACTCGCAACTAAAAAATCGCAGTCGCCCCGTGTGGCGTGTGACATCGACACTCGCTGGTCGCTACTATACTCCGCGCCACGAGAGAATGCATACGGCACGCGCATACAAATGACTGCGCTCCGCTGTCTCGAGGCCAAATGTCCCCACCATGCGGCAACTGGTCACTGCATACAGCGGTTCCACTAGGATTTATTTTCATCGGTGAAATGTTGATGGTTCCACTTCCACTGTCTTCGTCCATTGTATTGAAAGAGTAAAAAATGTAAAATCGGTTTAGTGAAAAAAAAAATACGGCGCGCGCGTTGTTCATAAACGAGAATCGGTAAACGACAAACGACGTTTTGGAAAATATGTTTGTTATTGTGATCGCAGTGTACACACCTGCCGACGAAACCGGTGAGCTCCGGAACAAGCCGACCGGTGAAGATCGTGCTGGTAAAGTGGTAGGGATGCGCGAAAAAATACGTGTTTTGGTCGGCCGCCGTATGCATTCTCTCGTGGCGCGGAGTATAGCAGGGTATAGACACTCTGTGTCAGTGGCGTACACAGCTATTTTCAATGGGGTTAGCTTACATATAAAAAATTATATATATATATATATATATACAGGGTGTCTCAAACAGTACTGACATATGGAATAACTTTTTTGGTATTCGATATTTTTTTTTTTTTTTTTTTGTTTTATTTGTAGACGCTTGTTTTATATAAAAAAAAATTTTTTACTTTTTTAATTCTGAAAATAAAAAATTTTAAATTTTATAAAAAATGTATTTGAAAAATTCAAAATAGCCAATTTATAAAGCCGATTTTTAGAAAAATTTTGATGGTTCAAATATTTATAAAAGTGTTGCCGTTAATTTTCTACAAATTATTTAGTTTTTGGAAATATGA